GCGCACCCCCACCGAGGCCGATAGCGGACATCTTTCCTCGACCATCGACGTGTTGGGGAATGTTCATTGTGTACATTGTGCATCGCGCGCGCGTCGCAGGGAAACCAGGACGAACGGCACGCCTATCCCAAGTATGCGGCAGCGGAACATGACTCCGTCCGCTTCCCGGTGATGGTCCGGTTCGCGACATTTGTCAGCCGTCTGACAATAATCGCGAATTCTCTTTATCTGACAAATATGTCTGACATTTCGCTGATCTTTTTTCTGATTTTCAATTTCCAACCTTTGAACAACCAAAAAAAAAAAAGTAGGGGGATGATGCGAATGCACGCACAGCGTGCGCTCCGGAGGGAGGGGGCGGCGCCGGCTTGGGGCGGTCGGGGAGCTAGACACTGGCGACGGCTGAGGGATGGTGTTCCACGGAGGGATGCCGGGACTGGTGGGTGGCATAACCCGAGGGGGTTGGGTGAAAAATGTCAAACGCGCCAGGCAGGGCCGTTGCCGTGAGCTCGGGCAATGTGTGGATCTCGCCGTCAATGTTCCAATAGACATCACGACCCCTTCATGTGAGCATGCAGCGGAGCAAGGCGTGAGGTACCCCTCGAGGGAAAAAAAAAAAAAAAAAGCCAACGTGCGAGCGCACAGGCACTTGAGCAAGGGCTGGAGCCTACCGTGTCATAAACACCATCTCCTCGCATTGCACCGTCTCGGCGTAATCGAGGGCCCATTGGGTACCCTACAAGCACAAATTCAGATTCTCTGTCAGTTGCCTCAAAGCGCCTCACCCACTTTTCTCATCGACTCTCGGGAGCACCAGACACGTTGGCTCTTGGCGGGGGCGAGCACCGGACAAGACTTCACGTACAGGACCGGCAACCCGCGTCAGGAAGCGCAAAAAGCCAATTCGACCACATTCGCGGACAACAATGGCCTGAAGGTGGCCGGAAGAGGGGTTGGCGTGCGGGACCAGGCCCCGCTTGGACTGCTTGGAGCGCAACGGCATCAAGGCCACCGCCACCAGCTTGACTCTTTCCTCATCTGCAAGCACGCCAGATGGTTTTCCGATGAATCGACGCATGCACCGAGGAAAGGTATTTGAAGCATGAGCAAATATGAAAATGGGGGATACTAGCACACACACGCACACACACGCACACACACGCACACACACGCACGCATACACGCACAACTGCCATCACAACCTGCCCTGTCGCTCAGCTCTGTCGCTTACCGGGAAGAACAAAATCCGTCAGCTCAGACGCACCGGCTCGCCTGAGTTGAACGTGCATGCTGCCAAGCAACCCACATGAGCAGTCAATGATGGCAAAAGCAGGCGCCAACCAAGATCAAAACGTACTCGCGGTAGAGATGGTGAATGAGCACTTGCTTAAAGCCACTGTAGCTGTACCGCGCCGGCCCCATCCAACGATAACGCTCACTGTCCTTGACAACCGCGCTGAAAAAACCATTGCACACAAAGTTGGTAGCATAACTACAACACAAACAATGCCAATAGAGTGACACCATAAACAAGCGGGCACCAGGGTGAGAGGCCGTCTCCACTGGTCTCTTTTTCTTGTCTGCAAGGTCGGCTTGGACAACGACGTACATGGTTCGCGACAGGTAGGGACTGGTCACGCGGCAAAGATCAAGGGGGCGAGTGAGGCCGAGGAGCACAAAGACGGCCCACGTCCGGATGCTCTCGTTGCCACAGGTGCTAAAGGCAACGGTATTGGTGGAGCCAGACGGGAGAAGGCCGATGGGTAGTTTGCGACCATCGGTCCGCCACATCAGGCCATGCACGGCCTCTGCCAGGAATCCATCGCCACCCGCCACCACGATGGCGTCAAAGCTGTCGACGTCCAGCTCCTGGATGGCTTCACAACACTCTTGAGCACGGGTCGTCACCAAAACATCCAGCGTGAGGCCGGCCGACTCCCAAATCTCGCGGGCCTTGGCAAAATTGCGAGGTGCCTCGCGCTTGCCGCCCACAGGATTGATAAAGCATTTTAAACGCCTGGGACGCCGTCTTTGATTGCATGCCACCGCCTGAGCAACGCTGTGGTGGTGTACGCGCCAAAAGGGATGGCCGGGCGCCAGGCGGACCCGAACAGCACGCGTCGCGTCAAGATCCACGGTATCCTGTAAAAGTCCATAGAGCTCGACGGCCTGTGGCAGCTCGATCACTTGATGCAACGTCCAGAGCGGGACGCGATACTGTCGCCCGCCATGCCGACGGGTCATCACAATAACCTCATCGTCCAGTTCGATCACCCACTGAGCCGAAATCTTAAGCTGCTTCATGGTCGCGTGCGCCGTGCAGGAGATCAAGGACTCTGGCCCCCACTCGTGCTGACCAGTCAGCAAAAGCCACTCTCACAAAATTTCTCCCTTGAAACAAGATGCAGCACGATACTTGATAACCGCACACCACTCCACCCCCGCTAAGTGCCAGGGCACCCCGATGCCGGAGACGACCGCCTCGGCAGCCTGCCTTTTTGCCTACTGCGCAGTTCCAAGAAAGCCCGTGCCCGAATGGCTCCGTTGCGATACAATGACTTTTGTTACACTTTCACATACATTAATGTTACATTGCAGGGTGTGGTTTTATTTTATGCTAAGGTCAGATGGTTCAAATTGGAGAGGTATTTCAAATTAGATGCTTCGCAATGAGAGATGGAGTGAAACGATTGTAATCAACGAGAGAATGCACCGAACGGCAACACTATCCAAGAGAAACTATCAACGCATCAAAAGTTCATAAGCGAAATCATAGGCTATCTCACAGATAGACGCCAGATCGAGCGCGACCTCAGAGAAAGTTACGATATCTCTAATTTTCTCAGAGATTCGGATCTCCAGCACACACCCCGATCGCGTGCACGTTTGCAGAGCAGAACGTGTGTCGGGCACTTTTTTTTTTTTTTCCGGGAGCATCAAGTGGTCGCGACGCGTGAGCGCGGGCGGGCGGCGGCGACGGAGGGTAGGAAAGAGGCCAACGACGAGGCCCAGAACAAGGCGTATCAGCCGGTTTACTGGGCGTGGCTGTGGACGCTGCGGTCTGGGGCTGCTTTGGCACTTGCTCTTGAGGACCCCGGAGCTGCTGGCAGCGCAGGGCTCGGGATGGCGACCGAGCTAGAACGGCGCGTTCGCGCTGGCGATGCTGCTGCGCTCTTCGAGTCGGCTAGCACTATCCTACATGATGTATGCAGCGCTTGTACTCTGGAGGTGCCGCCTCTATGACCCCAGAATGCCAAGCAGTTCATCTCACCACCCGAATGCCTTGCAGCTTCGGACACAGGAGCTGGCGATTCGCGGGAACGACATCCATCTCCACGGCCTCAACGGCACCGGCGTTGACCCTCTTGCTCTCTACGTGGGCGCAGCCACTTCCAAGTTTCGACAGCTCCTTGCCAACGTGCGCCCCAACTCCCGCATGCCCAGACCCCGCTCCCATCCCACCTCTCCCCGGCGCTGGTCTCATTGCCCCAAAAATACCCGCACCCTCGGCTACGCTTTCAGGTCAACTGGCAAAAGGAAGCCGTATTAAATTTGATGAAGACCATTTATCAGACCCATAATGAGCCCGAGCGCCAGTTGTGCTCCCGTGTACTCCAGCGCCTCCATCACAAAGTGCCCGAGCTTGTGCGCGAAGCCGGTCTCCTGGAAGCCGAGGAATTCTTTTCAGAAAACCTTCGCAAATGGATTGCCGCACCTCCAACCAAGCTCGTCTTATCTGAAAGCGAGGTACAACGCCCATTTTCAAAGTGTCTGTTTGCCAAGCACCCTCTCTTCCAATGCGCACCCCCAACTGATCCTGGCCTGTTTCCAATGCTCAGCGTCACCAAGGCAAGACCGATCCCATCCTCTGTCTCCTACCTTGCGAATACAGCTGGCGCCGTGGCTATCTGGCCGAGTGGCGCCAGCACTTTGAGCGAAAGTGGTAGGCATCCACCCTTGATTTCCTTTCGATGCCGTCCCTCCTTCAGCTCGCGTCGTGGCCGCTGCCCACCCCCTCACCCCGTTGATCAGGCACGTCATGTTGCCCGCCCCAGAGGCCGTCGCCAATGACCGACTTGACTTTGATGTCATCATGAAAAACGCAACCGATTTTGTATGTGCCCCAGCTCCAGCCCTCTGCCTGTCTGCTACCATCCAAAACACAACCTTCCAGCCAATCTCACCTGCTTGTTTCCCGCCTTGTAGCTGCAGACAGTGGCAGACCAATACAAGGATCGCTCGCTCGTCCTGGTGGCTTTTGGAATGGGCTGCAAGGTACGCACATCACAAAAACCCGGCGCGCTGCCTCCGCTTCCCTTTGCCCTTACACTTCCTCTTTCGCCTCACGCACTTTACTGTTCTGGCTTGCCCGTGCGTTTTCCGTGCGTTTTCCTCTCTTCTCCTCTGCCAGGCGGCCGTGGGCCTAGTTGGCAAGCCCAACGTCCGCATGCTCGTCTGCTTGGCCCCTATCCTCCTGGCACAACAAGACACCATGGCTTGGTATGCCCTGGGTCGTTGAGATGACATCTGTTTGTCCCACGATCACGTCTGACTTGCTGCACCCATCCATCATGATAGCTCGCTCACGGCTACAGAGCTACAGCAACTGCGGCTGCCGACCGTCTTCGCCATTGGCGCCACCTCCCACGCCTGCCCCTTGAGCTTGATGGAATCCGTGCGTATTGCTTAGCACTTGCCCTGGCAATGCCCGCGCTCCCGCCACGAGCCGTCCCGCCCCGCCCCGCCTTCGCCTTTTCCTCAAACAATTGACATGCACCCACCCACCCCCACAGATTCGGACCAAGATGATGGCCGCCAATAGCCTCGTCGTTGTTCGGGATGGCAACGCCCACTTGCAAGTCAAGCACTTGCACAAGTGCAAAATGCGCCTCACGCAGCGCATGTCTGATCTTGTACGTCATTCTCTCCCATGTTCATGGGTGCTCGAAAACGCATGCTTTCGTTGCCAACTGACCGACTCTTCCCATAGATGGTGCTGCAGCGAATCAACTCCTTTGTCCAAGATTACGTCGTCAAGGTTGGCTTGATTCGACCTCCTAGCCGTGCTTCCCCCACCCCGTGCTTGCCCCGCTTGCCTCTGACATCGCTACTCCCCTCCCCTTTTGGTAGAAACCAACCCCTACCTATGTGCCTCACCATGTTCCCCACAGCGGTTATTACTCATCGCAGTATGCCGCTGCTGCTGCACGCATGAGCCCACTACAACATATGAATCTGCCCCGAACTGGCACGCCCAGCCCCCGGCCCATGGGACATTCTGTCAGCGGCACCAATGCGTTCACAGGGTCACCACTAACTGCGGCCTACGCCCGTGGTTCACCCACCCTAACCCCAGCTGGAGCACGCGCAGCCCAGCCCACGGTGGCGCGCCGACCCACCGCCACGACAAAGAAAAGCAGTTCGCGCACATCCAAAGCTGCCGCCCCAAACCCTGCTGTACAGGGTGTTCAGTCAACATCACTCACCACCAGTGCCAAGACACTCAATGGCGCCGCGTTTCGGCCCGCATCTTCCACCGGATCGACGACCTCTGCGCCCTCCACCCCCGCTGCGCCCAGCACTGCCCCCAGCACTGCCCCAAGTACTCCCACGACACCGGGAACGCCTTCCTCTGCATCACTCCCTGGTATGTCAACCCACAACGCCGCAACTTCAAGTGTGCATTTGTAATGATAAACTCATGATGATGCCGACACCAAGGCCCCTTGCACAGCTCGCCAGCCAAGCGAGGCACAATCGCTACGCAATCACCGGATGCAGCCATACTCGACGATGGCAGCGGCGCTGCCCCAAACAAAAAGGCTGCTCGCCAACCCACCCCGCGCGCCAAGCGTGCAAGTGACACCGACAAATAGTGCCAGCCTCGAGCAATTATCGACGGAACCGAGTGGCGTGCTGCAATAGATAGGCTTTTTGTTCTTCCATACAGTTTTAAAGTTTGATCACGTACATAGCGACGTCGTCCTTCTGGGAGAGAGGGGGAGGGGGAAGCTGAGCGTTGTCCATGAGAACCATGCACCTTGGCTAGCCACGCCACCAATGTCTGAGAACATGTCATTCCCAACGATCTCCTGGCAATCAATATAAAAGCCCAGATATGGGAGCGTGTGGGCAACCCACCGGATGAGCTTTCGCCCATGCTGTCTCATGGGAGTTGCACCCTGAGCGATGTCACCACGTCAATGGCTTACTCAACCATGCTTACTGTTAATCCACAGAATCTGCAGTAACTCGCGCAAGTGCCTTAAACTATCGCTCAAACTCGGCACCGAGCAGAGAGGCCCAGGATGCAGACAATGGTATTAAATTGCTGCTGCAGTTGCAGGCTCACCAAGGTGCAGCACGGGAATGTTGGCTTTGCCTTGAGCTGCGAAAGTCGCCGGCCGAGCTTCTAAGAGCTTGAAGGCTGGGGTTCGAAACCGATGACCATTACTCTAACGATACGCTCGATCAATGCAAGACCAATCATAAAGAGACGGTGAGCGCATAGTAGGGTAGGTGGATAAAGCCATCTTAGCGTCGAGTGGGATTGACGGAGGCGAAGCTCACTCAGTCACTTTCTTGGCAGCCAGCAGGTACGGCGCGTGCGCCGCATCACCCATCCCCAGATCCAGCTCGCGGGCCATGGTCAGTGTCATACACGTGTTATGATCGCACTTTGCAAGCTAGGCATCCACTTACCCACCTACATTCACCCACACCAGCACGAGACAAGGCCCCAGGGTTGTGAGCAGCCTGCGGTGAGATTGAGCCCGTGAACAGCACAGCTTCCACTACAGATCAACAACCCACCACGCACCCAAGTGGCCAGAACCAGTCGGCAAAGATGCGCAGACTCAACGCATGTGATGTTGCCAGCAGTCCCGAACCCACGATTACCGATGCCACCAACACCACCAACACCCCTCTGTTGCGTGTGTGTCTCAAACTCGGACTTTGTCGAACTCTTTCAAACTCTCTCGAACTCCCACACTATGCTGTTCAAAATCCCACAACCGTTTGTTTGGCAATGGGTTTTCTGCTCGTAGAACTTGAATTGATACAAGCAGATCAAGCGGAATAAATCCGTTCCTCCGTTCGATTGCATGCGCTGACTCCTCTGTGTAATGCGCCAAGCTGGAGCACATGTCAACGCAAGCAAGCAGTGCCAAAGCAGCAGATCTTCATGTGAAGCCGTGACGCGGTCTGCGTGAAGTCTAACGCGACGAACACTGTGGTTGCCGCTCCACGCAGCTGCCTGCTCACCAGCGTGTCGTACTACCTGGCAATGACTTGCATTTCCAACCATTACGGTGGTCTATTCAATCGTGCACCGTTCAATCGTGCACCGACCTTCTTCTACCCACATTCAACATGGCAGACAAGGCCGCCGACGAGAAGGCTGCCGCCGAGGCGAAGGAGAAGGCTGCCGCGGAGGCGAAGGAGAAGGCTGCTGAAGAGGCAAAGAAGAAGGCTGCCGAAGAGGCAAAGAAGAAGGCTGCCGACGAGGAGAAGAAGAAGAAGGCTGCCGACGAGGAGAAGAAGAAGAAGGCTGCCGAAGAGGCAAAGAAGAAGGCTGCCGACGAGGAGAAGAAGAAGAAGGCTGCCGACGAGGAGAAGAAGAAGAAGGCCGCCGACGAGGAGAAGAAGAAGGCCGCTGACGAGGAGAAGAAGAAGAAGGCCGCCGACGAGGAGAAGAAGGCCGCTGACGAGGAGGAGAAGAAGAAGAAGGCTGCCCACGAGAAGAAGGCTGCCGACGAGGCAAAAAAGGCTGCCGACAAGAGGATGATCACTGTGCGCAACGTTCTTAACGAGTTGGCCAAACGCCGTCGCGATTGCGCTCTGGCACCGCTGCTGTTAGGCGCCACGACGCCAATCATTATCGAGCAAATTGAGAAAAGTGTGGCTGTCGGAAAGTTCTACCTGAACATGGATGAACAAGGACAGACGGCGAGGGGTGACGTCAGGCTGGCGATGGAAATCTACGCTTATCTGGAGCGTGAATTCCGGGTATTTTCAAAAATGCCGGAGATCGACCGAGCCATTTTGCAGAACCCAAGCTTCAACGGAGTGCAGCTGGCCGATCTCCGCTTGGAACTTGCCAACGCAAACGAGCGCTGGGAGCAGGTGCTCGCCGCGCTGGTGCGGGATGCTCTGTTCCGCCGTTTGCAAAGCCGGCATTTGCGTGCACAACTCACGGTCATTCACGATCGTGGCACCGACATTGAGGCGCTGATTTGTGAATCCCTCTTGATTCTTGCCAAACAAGTCTTGCCACATTGGCTGGAGTTTCATGAGCAGCATGTCAAGGCACAACTTTTTGACCTTGTTCAACTCTCTCTCGACAAAGTCCTTCAAGCTTTCCCCGCCCTTCATGCTGCCCTGCGCGCGACCCCATATGTGCCTAACGCTCTCGATGCCGCGGCTGATGATATCTTTCCTAATGGCGTCGAGGCAGACTGGTCCAAGGAAGTATCCTCAGTCCATGTGTCGGCTTCACCCGAGGTTGCTTCGGCGAAAGAATATGTTCACGTGCCACCTCTTGAAAATGCCCCTGTCAGCGCGTTCGGCACAGCCTCCTCCGCGCCTGCGCCTTCCAGTACCACTCCCGAAGGGTTTTATCAGCGTGTACCTGCTGCTACAAGCCCCAAGCCAATGGAAGGCTCACTATTGGACCACATTAGCGTCAAGCTCATGGCTGAAGTTTACGTTCGAATTCAGCAGTGCGTGGTCAACGCGAACAAGGACTTTTGCCAAAAAACCGATAACGAGAAAAGACTCAAGCGCTCCATGTGGCTGAATGGCCCTCCGATGGCCTATCACCCATCCAATACGACGGGGGCAACACCGGCTCAGCCCCAAGTAACGCCGGACTCCACCACGAAGAAGACCACGGCCCATTTCTTTCGCGGTTTTGAACGAGTCAAGACAGCGGCGGCGACCAAGCATCTTACACAAATTGAGATGGCCCAAGGCGAGGCTGCCATCGATGATTTGCTGAATGGTGCTTCCCGCCTCTCGGACGATGAAGGCACGTTTGCAAAACTCGTTGAAAGCTGCGAGCCGGACGATGCCTTCCGGCTGGATGTGATGTCGGCTGTGATCGCCTTTTATCACCCTCGACTCGTTGGCTTGATTGTCAGCAGCTACAACGACAACGTTTGGGATCAGGTGCCCACCTTGCTCACGGAAAAGAAGCAAGGCACGCCCTCGCATACAGCAGAGGATGCTCGAGAGAAACTAATCAAACGGTAAGGTCGTGCTTGTTGTTCGTGCGGAGCCTGTTGTCGCTGGCGACTTTCCTCATGAATACGCCCGCCTGCCCGCAGTTTGGAGCAGCTAGTGTCGCCGACGGCCCCATCGCCGTCCACCCCCACCGCCTGCCCCGAGTAGGTTTTCTTTGCTACAGGTATCCTAGCTCGCTTCCCAGCCCCTTGTTCGTGTTCTCGCCCGCCAACTTGCCTTGTTCGCGTCCGCGCCCGCCGACTTGCCTTGTTCGTTGTTGTTTTGCGCGCATTTCGCCAAAAATCGATCGGCATTAAGCAATGTCATTCATTCCACGCTTCTGCCTCTTCATCTTCGCCTCTGCTCCGTATCGATCTCCTGCCGCCGCTCTTTGAGCTAAATTTCTCCCTCACTTCTCTCTCTACTCTCTCTACTCTCTCTACTCTCTCTACTCTCTCTACTCTCTCTACTCTCTCTACTCTCTGACTGACTTCTCTGTCTTCTCCATCTCCCTGATCTCTTGTGTTTCTCGCTCCCGCATGTAATATCAAACAACATCAAGTATGCACGAGTCAACAAGAACTGAAGATACAGATATGAATTGTCAAATGCATCAGAGCACACACGCAAGAGGTTAATGGCCCAAAGGACCAGGCACGGAAAAAAACAAAAGTGAAAAGAAGGGAAAAGATACGGGCGTGCAATGGCAACAACGCAAGGGTGTGTTCGTGTGTCGCTCACAGGAACAATCGCAAGCACAGGGGCAAAAAATACGTGGGTTGTGGACAGTTGAGGCAATTACAATAGCAATACAAGAGGGGTAGGGGTGTGGACGGGTGGGTTCCTTAAAAGAGACCAACGTCCTTCTTCTTGTTGAGCTGCTTCCACTTGGGAAGGGCGTTGAACTGCTCGCGGCTCATGCCAAAGACCGAGTTGAACTCACCATCAGCAAGGTACTGCTCCTTCTGGGTCTTGTCGATTGTGTCAGGCAGGTTGTTTGACTTGAGGTCGGCAAAAGAGAACTTTTGGTCGGTGCTAAAGGCTTCAAGGGCCTTGGAGACGCTGACGACCTCAACAGCCTCGCCCTGTGCGGAGAGCGCCGCCTTGAGCTGCTCGTAGTTCATGCCGTTGGACCACTTCTCGTCGTCCCACGCCATAAAGTGGCAGCGGAAGTTGGTTGGCTCGCGGCCCTGCTTGACCACCATGATGGCCGTGTCATCGCTCGTGCGGTCCGTAGGATCCGAGTCGACGTATTCCTTGGCCGTCTCCAGAGCGTGCTTGCGCTCCTCGACGTTGGCACCCGCACCAATCCAGACAAAGACCTCGAAGAAGGCGTCAAGGATCATGACGTCGTCCTCAATCAGGTCCTCCTGATCAAAGTCGAAAATCTCCTCGACATAAAAGTAGCCGCGGGCGTTGGAGCACTGGAACAGACGCGGGGGACGGTACTCCTGCATCTGGGCCTCCTTGACCTCAGCGTAGTGGGGACGGCCGTTGGCAATGTCGTGGCCCAGACCAGCCCAGAACTCGGCGGGCTCGCTGCCTTCCATGATGGATTCAACTTCGCGACGGCCACAGATGGTGGGGGAAATCTGGCGGCCAAACTCGCGCTCATCACCGCTGCAGCCCTTGCCGAACCACAGGTAGCACTGCTTGGGGGTCTCGAGGATGAAGACATCGCCCGAGTTGAGGGAGGCAGGCTCCTCCTCGACCTGGACGGCGCGGGTGTCCCAGTCGTTGGTGCCGCGGACCTGGAAGAGGCGGGTGCCGTCCGTGTCGTAGCTGTCCTTGTCGTTCAGGTTCTTGAAGCCCGAAGCGTGGCCACCGGCGTGCACGACCATGCCGCCAAACTGCTGCATGACGAGGTAAAAGTGCGGGGGCTCCTTGTTCTGGACGACGCGGACCTGGACCGGATCGCCACCGTACTCCTCATCGAGCTTGACGGCGTGGATGGCCGAGGCACCGCGCTCGTCCTGGGAAGACTTGAGGCCCTGCCAAAAGTAAATGATGTAGCACTTCTTGTCGTTCTTGAGGTAGGTGTAGAGCATGACGTACGAGTCGCCGCCGTAGAAGTGGCCGTACTGCTCCTTGGGAACGGGGGCGCGCTCAAAGTTCTCAATGCGCCAGACCTCGAGGGTACCCTTGCCGTCATCGGGCAGCGCGGCCTTGGCCATGTCGCTATCAGTCTGACGGTTGTGAAGGCTGGCGACGGCAAAGTGACGCTTCTGAATGGCCTTGGGCTTTTGGGCATACTGGCCCGGGAGGAGCATGTTGGCTTCGGGCCACGAGGCAAACTTCTCCTTGAAGAGAGGGGTCTCGCCGGTCTCGACGACACGGGTGACGGGGGTGTGGTTGGGGTAACCCTTTTGCTTGATAAAGTCGGTACCAGTGCGCATGGAGAAGGCGCGCTCCTCCTTGGTGGCGCCCTTGCCGACCCAGACAAAGATACCGGCGGGTCCGCAGTCGAGGATAAAGGCATCGTTGGTGTCGAGCTGCTCCTTCTTGTAGGGTTTCTCCTCGATGGGAGTGACCTGCATGGATCCCGAGGCGTCGGAGACACGGTAGAGGGTCATCTCCTTGACGGCGCTGCGCTCATGGGCGTCATCCGAGCCGGCTTCCTTGGCCGACTTGATCTTGGCGGGCTTGCTGCCGCCCATCTTGGCCCAAAAGGCAGTGTCGTCGTCCTTGCCTTGATCCAGGACGACAATCTTGGCGTTGCCACCACGCTCCTGATCACGGATGCGCTGGACAATCTGCATGGCCTTGGTCTTCTCGAGACGGCTAGCCTCCTTGCCGTTCCACTGGTAAATTTCCATAAAGGCATCGAGGATGAAGACGTCACCCTCGTTGACGCTGCCGGCCGAGACGGGAACCTCGGAAACGCGGATTTTGCGGCGACCCTTGACGTGCATGAGGCGCATGCGGTGCTCGCCCTCCTTGTCGACATGCTTGAAGCCCGAGGCCACGCCACCGGGCAGATACTGCAGACCACCCTTGAAGAGGTCGAGGAACTCGTCAGTTTCGTGACCCTGGACTTCGCGGTGCTGGACGGGCTCATCGCCGAGCGACTGGTCGAGCTCGACCGTCTTGTAGGCCGCGACACCTTGCTCGTCCTGAGACGAGTCCTTGCCGAGCCAGAAGTAGATGTGACGCTCAAGGGCGGGGCCGACTTGCTGTGGAACAGGGACATCAGGGAAAAAAAGTCCGGGAAGCGGAGCACGCAGGGAGAAAGGGATGAGCGACCAGAGCGAAAAGGTGCATTCTTGGCGAAAAGATGGACGGAGGGCCGCAAGGCCACATTGGCAGCTTGTTTCGCCCTCGTTTGGCAAATGGCAAAAGGGATGGCAGGCATACCTTGGTGTGAAGAATGATGTAGGCATCACCCTCGTGGAGCTGACCCTGGAAGGCCTTGTCGTTGGCGGGCTTCTTGACCACGGCCAGCTTCTCCACGCGCCAGATATCGAGGCCGGGCTTCTGACCAACGCCCTTGAAGCTGGCGTCGAAAACGGTGGGCATGCCCTTGGGAGGTGTGTAACCTGCAATGGAATGGGATCGGGGAGGAGAGCAGCACAGGTGTGACGTGAGCAAACAATCAAAAGTGGCGGGCATGCAACGTTTGTGGGGGGAGGGGGAGGCGCATTGGTAGATGACTCGCGGGGCCTTACCCATGATGGCGGTGAAAGAAGAGAGAAAAAAAGGCTGGCTTGCTCAATCGAAGGAAAGGAAATAAGAATTCTACTCGAAACCCAATGCACAGTGCAAGGGAGGCAAGGATGAGGGTCAAGACTCAAGAGAGCTAGCTGGAACGTCTGTCCAGTGATTTTGAACCGTGTGGACGCAAAGAAGCCAGACAAGAGGAGAGGATACGGGAGGGTTGCGGTGCCAGATCGGGGCTGGCAACATGTCTTGATCCCAATGACAACGAGACGCGCTGTTCAGCCAGATCAAGGCACGTCGAGGCTGCAGCCTCAGCCAAGCGGACGTACGGCGAACAAGACCCAAGTCCCCCACCCCCCATCAGGTAAAAAAAAGAAAACACGATCACTGGCAAAAAAAAAAAAAAAAAGGGCAGTCGACCCACTGAACCATGGCGTTTTTCAAGCACGGCCCTCACTTGACCAAACCCCCACCCACACACAGACACCGAGCAAAAAAGGCCTCACTCTCACCCCCCACACCAGATAGCAGGGCAAGCGGGGCCAGAGGCGCAGGAGGGAAGCAGTGATTGTACCAGAGCGCAGGCGCCGCCAAATGCCACTAGCAAGGGCCTGTCAAGCACACGCTCGCGCGAGGGGCGGGGTTCAGAGATGCGTGTTGATCTGAGGTATCAACACAATGATTTATTACCAAAATACAAGCTGTTTCAGAGATGCACCTTGACTGTAATCATAACAACAACGACAACGACCTGGTGTAGATGTCACTGTCACACACACACACACATACACACAAACACATACACACTGATGGCAGTGCACCGCAAACTCAGGATCACCATGCTCTGTGAACCGCTGTACCTCCAGCCTTTGCCTCATCACTACCTACAAGACCTGCTGGCTGCCCTTTTCATAGCCAGTCGCTCATCGCCGCCATTGCCAACTTGGGCGGGGCTCGAGCCGTTCCTAAAGAGGACGACAGAGAGCGAGAGAGAGAGGGGCGGGACATGATGAGATGGACACACACACACACACACACACACACACATGCGCTCTCTCGCTCTCTCTCTTTGCGTAACACACACTGCCTTGTTGCACAAACAAACAGAGGTCTTGCACACACACACCCCATAAGTGTAACCAACAACAACATTGACAAACGGTAACCAACACCACACACACACACACACACAACAGGGGAACCAGAGTACAGATTGTCAGATAAATCAGAACACAGTGTACTTTATGACACGCTTTATTTATCCTTAATAACTATTGATTTGTAGAGGAAAACACGCGCACGCCAATAGTCCCCCTGGTTCATCCCAAGATGCATGCAGGCAAGCAGGCTCATTAAAGTTGGTGTGATCCCGATCCGACTCGGTCTGGCGCGAGCCGCGACGATCGTGGCTCGCACGCTGGACACGCTGCACTTCGAGCCTGGAAAGAGCGAGGAAAGCAGTCATCAGCGGCAACCCTCCTGCGTTTGCTTGGAGTCATTCAGCTCAGCAAGCGGCCAGACGGGATGGATCGCTGGCAGCACATGCGTGTGCGCGCCAACCCAGCCGAAACGACTCCACTGCCAAGTGCCCCGCGGCCTCCCCCGACGGACGACCTCCTGGCCTTTCTTCAGCAGGAGCAGGCCCAGCGTGAGGCTGAAGCTGAGCGTCGGCGCCTCGCTGAAGCTGCCCGCCTCCCGCCCCTTGACCTGCCAGACGACCACCCTACCAACCGGCCCGTCAACGTCGACTACACATTGGAAGACGCCGAGGCCCGTGCTGCCCGCCTCGCCCACGATAAGGCCCGCGCCGCACAGGCTTACATTCAGCAGCTGGAAGCCCGCAAGCAACAGCAGCGCGCTGCCCAGGCCCAGGCCCAGACTCAGGCGCTAGCCCAGACCCGAGCCAACCGCCTCTCAGAGGAGGAGCGTCTGGCGCAGGCCCAGCGCATTGAAGCCGAACGCGCGCAACGCGAAGCCCGCCATAAGGCCCGCGAAGAAGAATGCACATTTCTGCGCAACTGCACTTGTTCTGCCTGCCGTGACTAAGTGACTTGGCCCAGCAACACCATTGCAATGCCGTCACCACCCTCGATGCCAAGCATCATAATATTTACTCCTGGTCGATGCTCGCCCCTAGTGGCACTGTCACCTGCTTGATGTCAATTGAGCTGATCCTGACCTCGCGCGTGCGACGCGCCGAGTCCAGTGGCCGTCTCCGACACCCCATCTGATAGCTTAGCACAAAATCTCACGCGAGCGCGCGCGCACACGCACATACACACATCCCAAGACATGCAGCAGGGACCGATCCGACTCGCATGGTCATGGACAGCTCCCCGAGCTCACCACGACAACATGCATGCTTAAAATGCCTTGAAAAAAAAAACACCATTCAAGAAGGAACAGCTCGTCTCCACGATCAAACTCATCAGACTGCCGCCAGCCATGACCGGGCCTTCCGCCACACCTGTGACCTTGAAACCCTAAGCATCCACTTGCTCAAACAACGACAGGTCCAAATCTTGAGATTCCCGCCGCACCAGCTGATTCGAGGAAAAGGCCGATGCCGCTGCCTCCACGGTGGCTGAGCTGCTCGACACGGTACGATGCCGAGGACTATTTCGACGTGTCACCTTGGCATCATCCCCATCCTCATCAGGGACGCCAAACCCCATGCCTTGCTCCGCCAGCGATTGCTCGCCTACACAAGCCCAACGGCGCGCGTCAGCAAGCAAGTCTCAAGTGCAGCCCAAACCCAACACGCACAGCATTCACACGCGCCACCCACGTGCACCCTTGATAGCGGCTTGGACGATGGCCCAACACACCTTCTTCATCCTCCTCGCGCATGGTCGAGAGGTCGCTCGAGAATTGGCGCTGCTTGACGGCCGACTCGCTGATCCGCCGCGTGCCCGACTTGCGCCGCACCACGCTGGCCTTGGTCGACATGCGTCGCATGTTCTGCGTCAGCAACGCGTTCAGCTCCGCCCCAACATCACGCGGTGGGCCCTTATCCAGCTCCTGAGCGTAAATATTGGAGATGGCATCGTGAAACGTCGAAAAGCTCGGCCGCTGCTCCGGCTCCTTGTGCCAGGCCTGCAACATAAAGTCAAAGACGTCGTCCGGACAGTCTGGGCATCAATCAAGTTTGCACGTGAGCTACACCTCAGGCTACAAAACGTCCAAAGATTCTGGGCATGCGCCATGAAACACACCATCAGGCTGTGACAAAATGAGGCCAGCGCGAATCTCGTCGCGAGCTGCGCGAGACTTTAAATGGCCGAAAGGCAGCTCGCCACTCTCAAACACCTACACACAAATATACAGATGAGCAAGAGTGGCGTGCCAACCAGCAATCATCACGCAGGCCGGCGGCACGAAAGGTGCTCTGACTTTCTTGGCCAACGACCTGTACCACGGGTCATTTCATGCCCTCCCCACATGTCACAAAGACACTCACCTCCCACATGAAGACGCCAAAGCTGTAAACGTCCGTCTTTTCGGAAAAGTAGATGCGCTTTCCCCCCAGAGTTTCGGGTGCCATCCAGCGCACGGCCAGGCGCAGGTGACCCGTGAGACGAAACTTTTGAGTTTGGGGATCCACTTTGTGGGCAATACCGAAATCTGCAATCTTGGTCAAATTGTTCTCGCCCAGCAGCACGTTGCGCGCAGCCAAATCCATGTGCACAAAGCCCTGTGACGCGATATATTCCATGCCTGCCAGCGTTTGCTTGATAAAGTTGAGCCGCTCCACAAGCGTCAAGTGAAGGTTCTTGGAGGCACATGTCTGGCCGAATGGGAGGTGGGCAGGGAAGCTGTTGTGAGGAGCTCGGCAATGGCATGTCTGCACAGTTTCTTGCAACGGGACAGGCACCTGGGTGCCAGACTATGGCTCAAGAAGCATTCTCACCTGAAGAACTTTGCGCAAATCGCCGTACGGCATAATCTCCAGCACGCAAAGCCAAGGCCGGTGTTCAAAGCAAACACCCACGAGCTTGACCTGCACCAGCAACGCAAAGTACGTCATTCTCACGCCCACACAGTAGATATCCCTACTGATGATCAGCCAACTGCCCTGCGAGACAAACCACATTGGTGTGCTGCAGCTGCACCATGACCTCACATTCGTAGCGAAATTCATCCTAGACACATCGTGTCACAATGACCGCCGTGCGACGAAGAGAGAAATGGATGAGTCGGGTGGTTTGTTGGCATCACCGAGCTTGACTTTTTGTGAGTGTTTCCTGTGATCGACTGTAAAGCTGCCCACAAACTCCACAATCCGCCCACAGGCGCGTCTGCTAAGCTGGCCTCTGCCCTGCTCCTCTCAGAGGATTGCAACGTACGGCATCGGCATTGGAAGATTCCGTGCGGAGCATTTTGACGGCCACGGTCTGATCCTCGTCGGCATCATCCTGGGCCAGGGTGGCCATGTAGACAGTCCCAAACTACACGTTGTGTCACCAGAAAATCAAGCACGCGTAAGGCCTCGGTCCCCCAGCTGTTGCCCGCGGTCTTCACGATGACGCAGAACTGGCTTGTAACCCCAACCGGTCATTGACATACCTGGCCGGCCCCGAGAACCTTGAGCGCACTGAGATCATCGCGGGGCACCTGAGCGGCCCCCAGCAAACCGGTTACGGGCTCGGGGGCCATGTTGATGGTGTCGGGGAAGAAGGGATCATCGGCCTTGCGCTCTTGCAACTCACGCATCTGCTGCAAGGCCCGGCTCACAAACTACAGCAAAATCAGGAGGCCCGAAAGCAGCACAGAAGGATGCCGAGGTCAGGCAGGAAGGAGAAAAAAAATAGTTGAACCGCAATCTGATATCACTTGCTTAACCGCCTTTCCCATAACCCGCTTCCTTCTTTTTCCTTATCTGACACGCAAAGCCGCCCCCACATGGGGCCGGACGGGATCGAGCCAACGTACGGTGCAAATCTTGTCGGCATAGCCTTTCTCGCAGAGGAAGAGGTGGCAGGTGATGGTGTCGAGGCGATCATCCGACTCGATAAAGGCAAAAATCTCCTCGGGCTGGCCCTCGTCTAGAACAGTCACAAAGGTGACGTCCTTGATGTGACCCTCAAATAAAATATCATCGCTCATGGTTTCAGCATAGGAAATTGAGTCACTGTGAACGGCAATGGTCGCAAGTAGGCCCTTGTTTCGGTTCTTGTTTTTGCGACGGAGCGCCATGACCGCAGCCTCACAGGCCGCATTTCCCGTTTTCTTGGAGACGGGGCGACTCCCGAGGAAGGTGCCGAGCTCGGTCCCAATGAGGCGCTCGGGTAGGCCGAGGGCGGCAGTGGAGATTTTGGATTCACGGTGGGAACGGTTGTAGCTTCGAGTTTCCTCGATGGCCAATTCAAAGGGATCGGCATATTTGCTCTTGACGTCAAAGACGTTGATGTAGTCAATGCCGAGGCGTTTGTTGTGGTGACAAAAGGCCAGGCTCGGTGGCTGGAGTTTGGTGTCGATGCACACTTCCTCCACATAATGGCGAGCGATGCGCTGGAGTACCTGGCCGTTCTCGCGCGAGACGAGTGCGACGTAGTCGGGGGTCACTGCCACAAGCATCTGCATTTTGAGCGAAGCAAGCCCGAGACAAATGAGCCTTTTCATTTAAACGTAGCGCAATGTCGGCATCAAGACGCGGCCAGACCGATGCGAGCGAGGGACAGCCTGACCTTTTCCGGCTTGCTCTTGTTGCGTTTGGCCCGCAGACGTTCGTCCAGGATGGTGTCTCGGAGTACTTCGCTCATGGTCCGGCTCTCGTCCTTGTGCGCGAGGAGAGCAGGTCGAATCGTAACAAATTCGGCCTTGAGCATGAATTGCGGGACCTCGCCTAGATTGCCCTCCATCTCGCTGCGCAGCTTCACCTTGATCGAGTTGAGCATGTCCTCACCCGAAACGCTGCCGGTTCGCTCGATGGATTTTTTGATCGACGTCATCTTGCGGTTGCGAGCCAGAGTCACCAGCTGGCATCAAGCTGTAGAACGCGTGCGTGCAAGCCGCTGGGATCGCGACGCCGACCACGCCGCCCGACTCTCAAGCTCAGTCCGCGTGACGACGAGCGACGCGAATGCAGCCCCACGTGTGTCCGGCCGCCGGCCGCGCAAGTTGCTCTCTCTCTCTTTCTCCTCAACAGCCCTCGATGACACAAGCTTCCACACGCCTCTCAACCCTCAAGGCAACGTACACCCAGCGCCCAGCACCGCCCGATGCCACCAATACCAGCACAAAAAAAAAAAAAAAAAAAAAGAGGGCGGACCCTTCAAATTTCAAATTACGTGCCAAACAGATTTGCGTTGCTCCCACTTCTCTCCTTCTCTAAGCACGCACGTACCATGGACTACCATCTCTGAGCGTTTGACTATTGTAAGCCTTACTCTCTGACAACTGCTTTAAATCCGCTTGCAACTTGTCTCAAAAAGCTTCGTATCTCTGAATGCACTGAGCAAAGTATCGTTGCTCTCTGCATCGTTCCCGCCGATCTCACCCACTCTCTACCCCGCTCATCCCTTGGTGTGTGGAACATGCAGGTGTGGGCTGTTTACACTTCAAACGCCTTGAACTTGATCGCACGGGTGTGGTACCGCGTGCGGCCGATGAACTGACTCCTGACAGTATGAGCGTGCGCTCCTCCTTCGCAACGTGACATGCACTTGAACACGTTCTCCGCCGGCTGGCGATGGAGACGCATGGATGGGCAAGGCTGGCTTCTCACTCAGGAAGGAGACACCATGACAGGGCGAGGGGAACGTATCGCCTTGGGCAGGGAACGCGCCAATTGCAGGCGGCGGTTGGAGCGAGGGGGTGGGTCTGATTCGGGATCGATAATGTCGTGACCCATTCTTTGAGCGCGATCGGATCCGCACACGCTCTTGGATCGGCATCTTCAATTGCCAGCACTACACTCCCGTGGGACGTACACGACCTGCTCCAGGAGCCCCTTGCGCCACTACCCATCAGAGGCGATCTCGCAGATGAGCAGGCGAGCAGCCTAGCCCCATAGGTAGAGACGCTGTTGTTGTGGCAGATCAACAGAGCAGCCGGTTATTAATTCCTCTACAGCGCCTTCCGTACTATTGATAAAGGCTTGGGATCATGCCCAGTCCAGCGTACCCACCGCTAGCGGCTCGATCACGACCCAGTGTGCGTGGTCGGAGCGGCACCACTGACTCCTCTTTTCGACCCGGCTGCCCTTTCGCGGCGGCCTGTTCCTGTCAAAAACAGCTGTTATGACATTGTCATCTTTGTCCGCTGTCAAGAGGGTGTTAACAACTGTTGTTGGTAACATTTGATCTTTTTTTGGAGTATCAGCAAACGCGCGCGACGAGAGACGAGATCAGGTCGGTGGTGCCCCGCGCGCGCACTCGTATCGGCGGGCTCGGGCCCGGTTCAAGGCAGCGGAGGGTCTGAATTTTGTAGGGCGTCGCGTCTTTGTTATGGCACCATGGTTGGCGATGGGCTTGACTCACCCCGTGACTGGCTCGGCGCAGTACCATGGCAGATCTCAAGGTTTTTTTCGGCCTGCTGAGCGGGCTGTGCCGCAAGGAGTACTACGACGATGCTACCATTACCGACGAGTTTCTTCGCAGTGAACTCTTTGCCGATGCTAAACCTGAAGGTATGTATCCCTTTAACCCTGCTCGAACCCGCTCGCCCCAGCATCAACGTGCCTGGCACGTCTGCCAGCTGTATGTAGTCTCATCATCATCGTCTCTGGGTCTCCATCGTCCAGTCTACAAGAAGCAAAAGGCCATGGCCCAAGGCTTGATCAGCGCAGCCCTTGACGCTGAACTGAGCTTGAACGATGTTCCTGCCTTTGCTGACCAACACCAGGTACTTGTCTGCTCTCTGGATGACCCTGCTAGGCAATAGACGTCTATGTGTTCATGGCTCCCGGCACTTCTCACGCCCAAACATCGAATCACAGCTCTCGGAGGATCAAGCCAAGGCGTTTGCCAAGTTTTGGAAGTCGAATCAAAGCAAGCTGCGGGATGTGTTGATTCAACGCACCGCTTGGCGCCCCAAACTAAAGAGTACGGCCGACATGCATGAACCACTGCGTTGCCGTGCCTGCCCCCCACTCAAGACTTGGCCGCTCCCCTGCACATTTCGCAGAATCCAGCTGGCGAGTGGACTCGACCATTAAAACCAGCCGTGTTGATGAGGTGAGACCCACCTAAAGTGGCACCTCAATTTTTCTTGCGTTTACTTTTTAGTTTTTTTGTTCTGGTTTGTGTTCCCAACGTGCCTCCAGCGAAACCATGTTAGAGTGTCCACTGCCCTTTGCTGAACGCCACGTGTTTCTTGCTGCAGACCAACGTGCAACATTTGCTGCTTGAATTGGCTGTGGTGGAGCAAGGCAAGGAGAGTCTACGCCTCATGAGCCTGGACGCTGCCGGCGTGGACCGCCTGCTGGAGGACATGGAGCGCGTGGACGCGCTCCTGGGCGGGACGGTTGGCACGAGTTCATAAGCCAGCCATAGTCTAGCGATGTCTATCATCACTCTTCAAGAACACCATGGCGGGGGTTGTTGTTGTTGGTTTCACAGCGTGGACTCGGACAGGCTCTTGCCTACAACATTAGCGGTTGTGCGATAGCAAAAGGCACACCAAGCTGGGTGAGCACGGCCCGTGCGAAAAAAAAAAAAAAAAGAAGGACCAGGCATGATTGCAAAAGCGTTTATGCGGGCCTCAAGCGACACCGCAATGAGGCGCGATCGTTTGCACGCAAGCCCTTGTTGTCCGTGTTTGATTGGCTCTCATGTCCCATGCAGCTCGACGTACCCATTCCTGGTGCGCTGACGTCCGCCTGCGGCGGCCGGGTTGAAGCCATTGCATCTGTATCCGGCAATTCACTCGTTGTAGACAGATTATCTGTCTGATCAGTCTGCTCCTCGCTTTCCTCGCTTTCCTCGCTGCTGTCTTCTCCAAAGCCGTCCTCTGTGGAGAGTGGCTGGTAGCGGCTTTGTGTCGCAGTGCTGATCAGTGGCAAACCACACATGCCGGTCGTACTCGACGTGAGGACCGGGCCTGCACATCCACCATCCTCCCGCACTCACTCGCACACATAATCACCACACACCTGTTCTTTCGCCAGCGAGTCCACTCGGCAATAAGAAGCAGCACCAGGCTGGATGATGCCGTGCCAACGGCGAGCATAAACGTCGAGAAGGCACCCTTGCTCTACACACGGTGACAAGCGACGCATCTAAGCTTGCCTGTGGTGAAGCCCGGCTTGCACGAACAGCCATCCACGCACATACCTCATACACAAAGCCACCAACCAGCGCACCCATACCCGAGCCAAGACCAAAGTGCAGCCCGCTCACGATGCCTGCAGGTGCGTCGTGCATCGAAAAAAGTGTGGTCTGAACAACGGCATGTGCGATATTCACATGCTTGAAGCCCGGGGTGAACGCACCTTGCATGGTGGTGCCGAGCCCTTGAGGGGCAATGGCAAAGGCTTGCCGCGTAGCGGCCGTCCACATGACAGCAAATGTCAGACCATGGAGTGGCTCGGAAGCCACCACTATGGACGCCCAGAGCCACATAAGCTTTGCGCTCGGACCATGATGGTGGGGGTAAGGACACAAGGACAGGCCTGGTCTTACCTAGCCAAGGATTGCTCATAAAGCTATATCATGTGTCCATCCGAGCGACGAAAAAGCATGTCGAGCAAGACGTTGCACCAGGGCGAATCAGAGGCACGCTGGTACCATTCCACCACGCACGCCGAGAGCCTGAGAGCATGACTCACGCATAAATCAGGAAGCGCACAATAAAGGCGCAAAACGTCACGACCAAGCAGCCCGTGGTGCCCAGGCGATCAAAGATGGCCCCCGAATACCAGAACATGGGTACTTCTGCCGCACACATGACAAAGCGGGCCATGCCCTGAATGGTTTTGGTACCCCCCAACTCCTCGATGTAGATGAAGAGGTAGTTGTCAATAATTCCAGCGCCAAAGCCGGAGAGGGCGATGGTCAGGAAAAAAATGGTGGTATACCTGTGGGTTGTCGGGAGCCACGGCTCACCATCAGCACGGGGCTGCAAATGCTGGCACGGCGCGAGGATACAAGAACAAAAACTCACGCGTCCTTGGTCATGACGTGAAGAATCTCAATGAGAGCGGCTTGCTGGGGCGCTGGCTGTTTGCCAGTCGAGGCTGTGGGTGCGTTGTCGATGCGTGCGTCGGCCTTGGTGTCGTCTTGGTCGGTGGCGGACGCCATTTCAATAGCGTCGGGTCGCTGGTCGTGGGCGCTGTCCGCGGTCTCCTCGTCCTGGGGAAAGACCTTATCGTGACGCGATCGAAAGCCTGGGTCGGAGGGCAGGGCCAATCGGGTGCTCAATGCGAGGAAGAGCACCCACAACACGCCCTGGTTGGCAAACATGGGCCAAAAAACATGGGCGTGCGTGACGGCCAGGCCGGAGACCAAGACGGCGGTACCAAACCCAATAGCGCCAAAGAGGCGTTGTCGGCCGTACATGCTTTTATCCTGCATTGACGAGAAAAGGAAAGGGATTCAGGTTCCAGACATGGTGACAGGAGAGGGCACGACGCTGACACTGGGCGCGACGCGGTGTGGTGGGGCGTCAAAACAAGGGATGACGAGCCGAGAGACTTACTGGCAGGAGTTCGAGGACACCGTTCTCAAAGATAGGGCCACCAACCGAGCCAAAGGACTCGGCGGCCACAATGGTCAAGATGATGCGAGGAAAGTCGTTCATGAAAAGGAGCGAGACGCGCAGAACGAGACTGGCCAGGACACAGCCGATGAGCATGGCTCGGTGGATGCGCAGCTTATCGGCAATGCCCGAGAGAACGGGAGCGGCAGCAAACTTGGCAAAGGGAATGGCCATGCCAGCCAGCCCAACATGCGTGTAGGTCAGGTGCTTGGCATCCTTGAAGAAGACGGGCAGAAAGGCGAAGACGGCGCCAGTACCGCCAAAGTACAGCATGTACAGGACCTTGGGCAGGATGAGCCAGCTCATGGTGCGTAGTTTGAATTGACGGTGACCCAGAACAAGTTTGCGCGCACACTTGGGCTCGCGCCCGTGTCCAGACGGCTTGGTACTCCAGGCGCTCGCATGAGCAGGCGCTGCGACCACGACCCGACGAATCAAATTGACACGAGCTCGATGACCTTGAGGCTCCGGAACAAAGGCGGAGTCATGCGCACTGCTGGGCGAGCCGAGGCCACTGCCAGAGCCCGAGAAGCGAGCCAAACCAGAACTAGCAAGGCACAAGAAAGACAGACCAGATAGCCAAGACCTAGCGGGGAAGAAGAGCCTCGCAGCAGCAGCAGACCAGCACACGACCAGACGGGAACGAGCGAGTGCGCAGCGCAAAACGGTCCCAAAAAAAAAAACTGTCAGCCGCCTCGTGTTGAGTCACACAAGCTCTTCATTCTCTCAATCGCCAACTCAATGAACGCGCACCTCTGACAGACTAGCCGATTCAACTTGATTACAGGTCCTGAAGCACCAGCGATGAGACGCCTCTCTGAAAGTAGATGTGCCACTCTTCCTCTCTCTTCCTGTCACCCGGTGTCGAAATCAGCCTGCATGAATTGTCAGATTGTAAGACAAAAGTGTGATGATTGTCAGACTGTCGCAGACGTCGTTGTGCTGGACACGTGGAAAGCGCCCCAGAGACTGATCACGTCAGGCTTCGCAGAGGCAGAGATGGCCCTCTTTCTGAATACATCTGACATCCTTCAAGCTGGAAAAATCAACGTCTTGCAGAGAAGACGCGCGACCCGCAGAAGTTGCTCAGAGAGAGGTAACGGCCCGCATGTCAATCATTTCCATCTCTTCTGAATGAGAGAGAGAGTGCGCGCGCGTCGAGAGGTACGTGACGATTTGGCAGCGGCAACCGCCACGACTGTTTGAGCAGGGCGAGGGTAGCTATGGCTGTAGACTTGCTCTGGAGTTCAAGGAAGCTCCGTGTAAAACCAGCTGGCTAGGCTGTGTCGATACAACGGGCTGGCATCGTGGCGCAAACGCACGCAGCTCACACACCCCGGCCCTCATCCCGATTATCCCGCGTAGCAATAGATAACGCCCACGACCACACACACGTACGTACACACACACACTTACGCACAGCCCAGAACCAGTCAACATGGATGCAGATGGTGACTCGGACTACGAGCACATTGAGGGTGAGGAGGAGGAATTCATCGAGGGCGGCGTCT